AGACCCCCGTGGGGAGAACCCCATATTACCCAAGTGCAGCAGGGAGACCTGTTACAACAAGAGGTGTGGCCTGGGAACTGCCTCTATCCCTTAGCACCTCCAGACTCCAAAAGACAGAACTGCACTTGCCAGAACCGTAGGAAACCACAGGTCCCAATGGGGTTCCCCACTCTCACAGAGCAGACTCAGGAGGTAAGAGTGTAAATCAAGCCCCAGGCAGGAGTCCCTGGACCAGTTCCTCTCCAGAATCTAGTTGTGTCCCCAGATAAGGCAGGGGACCAAAGGAATAGAGACCCCAATCCTGTGCCACAGGCAGCCAAAGGGCTCCTGAGCCCCTCAGGGGCTCATGCTTTTCCTGCAGAGGCCACAAGGTCTGCAAAACCCAATGCCAAGGGGATAGTCTGGAGAATGGGCTGTTGGATTGGGCTCAGAGCATGTAAGCTCAAAGAGGGGTCCAGGCAGCACCCACTGGAAACCTTGGGTAGGTGTGCAGCCTGGGGCTCTAGAGGGGAAGAAACTGGTGTTTGGAGGAAGCCAGCAGCACAGAGGATTTTCACCACATTTCATAAAGGGGAAGGATGGTGCCCTAGAATAAAAACCACTTTGGAGAGTCCAAAATATTTGAATCCAAGTCTGTTTTCCTTCACTGGAAATAGGCTTTACAAGCTAATCTGTCTCTGAGCTGCAGGTTTCCTTTTTCCCTTAAACCTGCCCTTGATGCCCCCCCCCCCCCACCAATCTTTTTCTTCCTGCTATGGAAGTTCCATAGTAAAGCGTCTTTCGCCTCTGCCCTGCGCCCTGATGGATGTCCTGAGCAGCAACTGCGTTCCCCTTCCTGGGTCTGGCCCTGCCACTGGAGAGGGAGGGTCCTCAGACAAGCCCCAGCAAGGGAGGTCCCTTGCTCCATGAAGTAAGCAGAGGTAGTGAAAAGGAGAAAGCACAGGGCGGAAGTGTGACGTGAAACTTATGTGAGCACTGGGCCCAGACCAGAGGGGAGAGGTGCTGAGTGCTGGAGACCACGGGGGCCTCAGGGAGAGCAGGCAGGAGCACAGAGGTGCTGCTAAGTTGGGGGATAATTGCTGGGTGACAAATATGGCACCAATAAGGAGGGAGCTCAAGAACAATCTACTCTGTAGGTTCCAAGAGTCTGAGAGATCTGGGATACCCTTCAACCTCATGTCTAGGGGGCAAGAGACTCCCACGCTTGTTGAGACAAGGCAGTATGAAAGTCTGCCCCAGGGGCAGGGATGAGGTTTGTTCATAAGATTCTGATTAATTAGCACTCTTCAGCTATGTGTGTGTGTGTGTGTGTGTGTGTGTGTGTGTGATCTGATTGTCTTCTCATGATCAACCAGGCTTGACCAATTATTTTTCTGGACAACTGATCTTCATATCAGCCCATCTTTAGTTGTTGAGTTTTAGGCAAAATCATAATTGTAGAGGTAATATAGAGTTGCAGCACAAAGCATCTTTTCTGAATCTACCCTCACTTGGTGGTAGCATCCCTAGATGGGTGGTGCTGGGAAGCACTCTGTGCCAGATGTAGTTAGTCTGGCTGTGACGATCACGGACAGCTTTAAGGGAGACAGCAATTGTCTTCACGCAGAGATGAGACTTCCTAGGCAGGAATTTCACGTGGGTTCTGCCCTGGATCCTGTGTATCTCAGGATGTGGCGCACAGTTTCTGGGACCAGGCCCAGAAGAGAGGACCCAGGTGAGATTTCATGATTGGCTGTGCAGCAGTGTCAAGATTGGAATCAAACTTCTTTCCACATGCAGACTATGTGGTCCAGCTTCAGGCCAAGGAGTAGGGGCATAAGCAAGTACCATACTCCATGGGTACCAGTCCCCTTGTTAGGGTATCTCTGACACTGGCCACCAAGGAACGCAGGGAGGGAAGATGGGGTCCCATGGGCTGGTTGGAGGAAGAG